TAACAGGATCTTTGAATCCTAGGGTTTTAAAGTTTTAGACAGTTAAAATTGAATATCCAAGTCTTTTTTTAATGCACATTTATTAGTATTAGAAAAGGTCGTAGCTTCTTGCATTAAAATAGTGGAAAACTGTGAAAGTAAAATTGGAAAACTCAAATTGAGTTTGGAAAATGCCTTTTTAAAGTGACACAGCTGCCTTGCCAGTAATGCATCAGTTAGGGATATTTTAGCATACTTGCATTGTATTAGTTGAAATTTTATAATAGTCCTGGTGTTGAAAAGGCTAGTTTCATATGTAATATGCTGATAATGGTAAAGGTCAGAAAATTGTAGCTCATCTAGGAACTTCGTTATTCAAGTCTCTTGCTGTTCTTCAGTTTGGACAGCATGTGTGTTACAATATGCTTCACTAAGTAAGTGCATTATATAATACATATATAGTATTTTTTCAGTTCATAAAATTCCCCCTTTCCCTTCCACCCCCTTTACAAACTTTTACATTGCATTTGCAGTGGGTTTTTGAATGGGCAAAAGTCCCATCTACTCTGTAGTTCTTTCTTTGGTGACTTACTGGCTTCGTAGCTCAAATCTTACCAGGAGACTGCTGCTTATGGACGTTCAGAAAAATGTCTGCACAGTGGTGTTGTCTCCCAAGTTCCTGAATCTGTAGCCTTGCTTGGGTACTGGGGGGGGGGGGGGCAAAAAGTATAATGTGTTGATGTACATGTGGAAATTGTGTTTTTTAGTACATATGGAAATTACCATTTAGAGAAAAGAAGTACCTTGCTGCTTCTCTTGCCTTATTCCTTACTTTTTTTCTTGCCTTGGGGATGTCCTTGGTGTTCATCTGCTAGAACCAAGATGTGTGATATACTTAATATTTTGCTCTGCCTTTTGTTGTAAGGATGAAGCTGTGGGAATTATGCAGAATTTGCCTTCCCTTTAATATTTCTATTTTCTGTATTGTATGTGGTTGACAGTAACAGTTTTTTTGTGTGTGGGAGTTACTTGCCAAATGCAGTGGTGTGTTCCACAGACTAACAGAGGTAAATCTGCCTTTGCAAAACTTTGATGTGTTTACTGCTGGAATGATCAAGGTGGGCATGGGCAAACAGTCTGTGTTTACCCATACTGTCTCATGTGGTAGCGCTAAGTGATGGAGGCAGGAGAGGACAATTCCTCTCTTAGAAACTAACCATCCACCTGGTTTTCCTGCTCACCAAGCCCCAGTTATCAAGCCCTGAACTTAAGTTTGCCGATACTCATTCTGCAAAATGGCACCTTAAGAATTTCTTATGCTATAAAGGAGGCAACTCAATAGAGACACCAGTGTTAGCAGAACCATGTATGCTAAAGGATGGTGTTGCTTTTTAAGCAAAAGCCTTATGCCATTTTTAGGACAACTATTACAGTTCTTTGAATCTGAGTTTTACCACACAACCACAGCCATGTTGACTAGACAAGGTTTTTTTCTCGCACGCTACTGGAGAGTGGTTAAGAAAGAAAAGGAGGTTTCATAGATTTCATAGACATCAGGGCTGGAAGGGACCTCGGAAGATCATCGAGTCCAGCCCCCCGCCCAAAGGGCAGGAAGTCAGCTGGGGTCATAGGATCCCAGTAAGATAAGCATCCAGTTTCATCTTGAAGGTGTTCAATGAAGGCGCTTGAACCACCTCCGGTGGCAGGCTGTTCCAGACCTTGGGGGCTCGGACAGTAAAGAAGTTCTTCCTTATGTCCAGCCTGAAACGATCTTGAAGTAGTTTGTGACCATTTGACCTCGTCATCCCTTGGGGCGCTCTGGTGAACAAATGTTCCCCCAGATGCTGGTGGTCACCCCTGATAAACTTGTAGGTGGCCATCAGATCACCCCTGAGCCTGCGCTTTTTCAGGCTAAAGAGCCCCAGGGCTCTCAGCCTGTCATCGTAGGGTCTGCTTCCCTGACCTCTGATTATGCGCGTGGCTCTTCTCTGGACTCTCTCAAGCTTGTCCACATCCTTTTTGAATTGTGGAGCCCAAAACTGGACACAGTACTCCAGCTGCGGCCTCACTAAGGCCGAGTACAGGGGGAGAATGAAGTCCCGGGATTTGCTTGAGAAGCATCTATGGATGAAAGCCCGTGTTTTGGTCGCTTTACTAGCCGCCGCATCGCATTGCAGGCTCATGTTCATCTTGTGGTCAATGATGACCCCCAAGTCTCTTTCTTCCATAG